TAAGGATCCCAGTAGTCCTTAGAACGTAAGAAGAAATCCTTCTTGAGTCCATCTCCCAGAGAGGGGTTTTGGAGGCTGAACCTGCAGATTTTATGTGACTCTCAGGCTTGCTCCAGCCAAAAGAGCACCCGGGGTGAGGGTTAGAAGGTCAAGGACCAGGAAGTCAAGGGTGCAGTGAGCTATGATCATGCCACTGCACTCCAGCCTGGGTGATGAAGTGAGAATCTGTCTCAAAAAGCAAAAAAAAAAAAAAAAAAATAGGTCAAGAAGGACAGAAAGGAGCCAACCCATAACTCTGGGATGAGCTACTACAACCAAACAGGATGAAAGTCTAACTCCTCATAATCATAGAGTGACCAGAGTGAGGATAAAGGGTCTGTTTTTTTAACTTGAGCCATCATCTCCTGTGGAGGCAAATTTTCTGCATATAACTCCTAGCTAAACAAGAATACCATAAAAAAAAAATTTCCCACAGCTGATACAACCTTAATAGGGGCATTTTCTCTCATAGTAAATGAATTTTTATATTTTAGTAAAACTACCTATTTACTAAATAAAGATTCGTATGTTATGAAGCAAAGATTGGAACAGAAAGGGGGATGACTTGAATTATGGAAAGCATCCAGACAGGAGAAGATGGTTTCTTCATAAAAATATTTTTCCCTGTTTTACTCACTCAATACAACTAAAAACTCTCAACTTTATATATAAAACAACATGAGAAGTCTCTGACAGGGCAACAGAAGGCAGACTGGCTAGGGACCCTGCATCCTGAGGACCATGGTGGTGAGCTCCCAGGGTGTTCCTGTTGCCTTGGACATCCCAGACCTGGAGCTGAGGGCAGCAACCTGGAAAGGGCAATGGGCACATACAGAAAAAGTCTCAAGAGGAGCCTGCTGTCTCTGACCAAATGGCCAGAAAGGGCAGCCCAGCAAGGCACAATACTTTGAAACAGTAACACCTTTCCCCAGCCAAATGCCTGAAAAGGCCAAGTGGGGAGTCCAGGCTTCCACACTCAACATACTATAATGAGGTGCCCCAAATACCCTACTGAGTTGGGGACAGAAAAGGCCCAATAAGGAGCCCATATTTCATCCCTACCCAGATGTAATGAAGAAAGCCTAGTGGAGAGCCAAATCTCTCACCACTACTCAGCAGTACGGAGGACATCCCCAGTTGTGTCCATGGAGGCCATGTGTGGAGCTAGATATCCCACCCCTGTCCAGCAGTAATGAGGAGCCCCCAATAATCTCAGATGTGAATGTAGGCTGAGTGAGCAAACTAGAGTTTTACCCTCACCTGCCAGTACTGAGGCAGCACTGCCACCTCTTCCTTGGCCATAGGGTTCTGAAAGGAAGCCAGTGAAAGGAGGTTTTAGTAAGATCCAGAGTTTTATAACATCATAAAAAAATATATCCAGGATTCAACTGAAAATTACATGTCTTAGAAGAAGCAGGAAGATTCAAACTGCAAATAAGACAATCAAAAGCTACCAATACCAAGATGACAAGAGATGTCAGAATTATCTCACAAAGCTATTAAAGCAGTCATCATAAAAATGTTTCAATGAGCAATTATGAACACATTTGAAACAAATGAAAAATGTATAAAGTCTCAGCAAAGAAACAGAAAATAACAACAAATAAATAGAAGATATAAAGAATGAAATAGAAATTCTAGAATAGAGAAATAAATAACCAAAATAAAACTACAGTTGATGGGCTCAGTGGTAGCATTAATGAAACAAAGGAAAAGTGACATTAATGAGACAAAGACATAGTGAACTGAAAGACAGAACAACAAAAATAACCTAATAAGAAAAACAGAGAGAAATGGACCAGAGAGATAAAAAGAAATGAGAAGAACCTCACAGACCTATGGGACTATATAAATGACCTAAAAATTATGTAAATGGAGTGCTGTCGGAAGAGAAGAAAATGTGGGACTGAAAAAGTACCCGGAGAAATTTTGTCTGAAGATATCCCAAATTTGGAAAAAGACACAAACCTACAGATTCAAGAATCATAGTGAACATCAATCTGGATACATTTTTTTTAAATCCATACCGAATGCTTCTGGGACATTTTCCAAAAAGGAAAACAAATAATTTTCAAAGCAGCCAGAGAAAAATTACACCTTACCTAGCGGGGCACTTGTCATCAGCATCCGTGCAGAAATAGGAATTAAGTGCTGGGAAAAAAAAAATCTGCCAGCCTAGCATTCTATATCTATTAAAAAAGTATTCTTCACAAATGAAGAATTCAAGACATTCTTATATGAAGGGAGACAAAGATAATTTATCTCTAGCAAACCTACCATAAAATAGTGTTTAAAGAAAGTTCTCTAAAGTTCCTTTATAGGAATTTTTTTTTCTAATTTAAAAAAAAAACAACAACACAGAAAACAACAAGCATGGGTACGGACGTGGAGGAATCTGAATTCTCCTACTCTGATGGTGGGAATGTAAAGTAGTGTACCTATGGTGGAAAACAGCGTGACAGAGTCTCTCAAAAAATTAAAAGTAGAATGTCCATACGATATAGCAATTACATTTCTGTGTATATACCCCAAAAAACTGAAAGCATCAAACTGATATTTGCACACCCATGTTCATTGCAGTATTATTCACAATAGCCAAAAAATGGAAGCAACCCATTTGTCCATCAGCAGATGAATGCATGAACAAAATGTGGTTTCTACAGACAATGGAATATATTCAGCCTTAAAAATGAAAAAAAAAAGTCGGATACATGCTACAACAAGGAAGATGGATGAACCTTGAAGATATGATGCTAAGTAAAATAAACCAGTCACAAAAGGACAAATATTTTATGATTCCTCTTCCATGTGGTACCTAGAATAGTGAAAAAAAAAAAAAAACACCAAACGGAAAGTATAATGGTGGCTTCCAGGGGCTGGGAGGAAGAGGGAGTGGGGAGGTAGTGTTTAATGGGTACAGACTTTCAGTTTTGCAAGGCGAAAATGTTGCTGTGCGTGCTTGCTCCTGCCTGTAATCTCAGCACTTTGGGAGGCCAGGTGGGAGGATTGTGTCAGGCCAGGAGTTGGAAAATAGCCTGGGCAACAAAGAGAGACCCCATCTCTGAAAACAATTAAAAATTACTTAAGTGTGGTAGAGGCTGAGGTGGGAGAGTCATTTGAGCCCAGAAGTCTGAGGCTGCAGTGAGCTATGAAGAAATCATTTCCTCTGTCCATTCTGTTTCACCACCGACAAAGCAATTCTATTCAATTACACATTTGTACTCTCAAGACCTAAATAAGGCATTTTTACTCCAGTTTGCTTTGTGTTTTAGTGGTTTCTCTGAAATAATTCTGTAAAGTCTCTCTCCTTTCTTATGTTAGCTTAATAAAGTCATTGTTCAATTAGCTTAATGCCCCACTATTAATGGGACAGAGATTTCCTTAGACATCAGAAACCAATAAATTTCCCAGTCTTTGCAAGAGGCTCTGTGTGCGTGTTGGGGAATGCCTTTAACACCTACCTGGGCAGTTCGTAAATCTGCTAGCTAACTAAAAACCTTAAAAGAAGGAATTGAAAAATAAGATGTTCATAGAAAGCTTTGAAGAGTGGTGACACATTTCTGGAACATAGAAGGCCACACAGGCTTAGGAAATATCTGAGAATGCCCTAAGCCCTCCCTCTGACTAACTTTGAGGCTCTATGAGAGCGGAACATTACATTTCTCTAGCGAAAAATGTCTGCAGAAATAAGAAAATGTATAGGAGTAGATTATTTAAAGCAAGACTATGGCCTTATAATGAGCCTTTTCAACTGCAGGTTTATTCTAATCCTTGGTTGCAAACCTTCATAATGGCCTTTAGGCTTCAACTGAAATAAAAGTGCTTACTTGGTCTTTCTCGCTTGAAAAGCTCTATACTCCATTTAATTTCCTCTAACTCTGAGAATTTGCCAGAAATTATTTCCCAATTCTAAAGTTTCTGAATGAAATTTTATAGCCAGATTTGCAGCCTTTCAGCTACTGATTTCAAATCAGCAATCATTTCAACAGATAAATTGCATAAAATATCGGGCTTGCCAATATGAATTTCCTAAACTGTTATCCTGTCTCCACGAATCTTTACAACTTTTATCAGTTTCTGTAAAAATGCATATTTGCACGTCTATGTGAAAGAGAGATGGGTAACTGAGAGGAAACAGCAGAGACAGAAATAGATATTGACAAAGATTTGCAGTAGGTGCTATTTCTTAAAACTTCTGGTTGTTACAGTGAAACATTATTTGCAGATGATAGGATTTACTATTTGAAAACTCCATGAAAGGTAACCCAAAATTGCTAAAATTATCAAAGAATTCAATCTTCAGTATTTACGCGGATTTGGGGAAATAGTCTTTCCATTATACTCATGTTAGAAAAGTAAACACATATATAAGTTCTAGTGAACTATATTCCAGTATTTATGAAAAGTAAAAGATTATATACATTATGGTGCAGCCATTTTTATCTATAAAACCACCTTAAAGAAATAATATAAGATGTATGCAGATAGCAGCACTTGTAGTAAACAACAGTTCAAAAATAATCTAAACATCATTGAAGCTGGAAATAATTCTGAAAATATGGAATAGCCATTAAATAGGACATTATGAGCTACATTTCTTTATGTTGCTTTTTAAAATATCTATCTGTTACTATACAACTGTCGCCTCCAAATCACAGCTATATTCTACATATACACATAAACACACATATACACATATTTCTGTTTGTGTATATTCAAATACATGTTCCCCTTTTCTTTGCCTTAATATGTCTGTACATCTGTGTGTGTCCCTGTATGTGTGTATTTAACCACTGGGGGAGAAAAGAATGGATAACCCTGGACAGACTGGCTAATTCAAGTTTATATCATGTCATTCCCTTTGGCTAAGGTGACCTTCTTTTCTTTTCTCCCTGCATTTATACACATGCATATACATGCTAAAATAAACACATATACAACATATATATCCAACACATGCCTATATGTACATGTAATTATATTTTAATAGCCACTGGGGGAAAAAAGAAAGTATACAAGCTAATCTGTCAAGAGATCATTTGCCTAGACAGGTAGATAGGAGTGAGAGATTAATAAAGCTCATGTTTTAATACTTTCAACATTTTTTAAAAATCTCACACAATAATTTCTGATTTCTCATTTGTGGTAGCAAAGCAAAATATGGCATTTATAGGGTGCTTTCCATTTCATATGACTATAGATAAAATGTAGCGTATGATCTTAAGATTGTGTTACAAACATAATTTTATTGGAAATGAAACAATAAATTTTCTTTCATACAGGGAAAATTGGAATGGATTTTGAAGGATGGATACAATCAAAAGAGATAGGGCTCAGAGATGGCCTTCCTCCTATTAAGATAGGAGGAGATAATGGTTGACACACAGGCAAGGAAACATCTGCATTTTTCACATGGGACTGAACAGCCTTGCTCTGCAATCTAGCAGCTAGACACTTCATCAGACTGGGATGAAACAAAGCTCATAGAAGGGTGGTATAGTGCCAAAGCCTTTGTGAACTGGGGTGGTGTCAATATCCTTTGGATCAACCAGAGGTTTCAAGGTAAAATTCTGCAAAATGGTGGTCAGGATTAAAAACAGCTCCATGCGGGCCAGGCCTTCTCCAGCACAAATTCTTTTTCCTAAAAATTACACACAAGATCATTACTCATTTAATTCTTTAGCTGAGTTAGCATACAGGGAGGCTGAAATTAATGTGGAATGAAGAAATATATTAATGAATGACTAATGAACCTACAACTTTTTCTATTTACACCCAAACCTGGTTTCTTTTCTATTCTTTAGCACATATTTCTGTGAATGTACTATATGAAAAAAATCTTTTCTGTCCATGCACATTGGAACTGCTGTGTTGCAGCTTGCCAGTGACATCTTTACACACACACACACACACACACATCTATCCCAACTGGCATGATACACAACACTGTATCTACTTCTCCATATACTTCTGATCCTGGACTTGACAAATAGATTTATTTGTCCTTATCTGGATTCTAAAGAATAATCAATCTTGCCACATATCTGCTCTAAAAAAAAATAGTCAAGAGCTTATTATTGCCAGGTATAAAAAGAAATGTCACCAAGTGGCCACAGGCAATTCTTAGGGCATCATTTTTTTCCACATCTTCCACCCAGTTCCCCTCACCCCAGCCATTACTAATGATTCACTACTCCCAAAACAGATTGGCAATTTCAAGATTCCTCTCAGATTCCAGGTATTCTTCTACCTGGAATGGTCTCCTACTCTGCTTTGCCTGCCAATAGTCCCCATATTCTTCCAGATTCAGCTCAGATGTTATTTATTCTATGCAATCTTCTTTGATGCATCAGGACATACAATTCACGCTCTCATGTTTTCCACAATATTCATTAATGCTTCTGATACACTACATTTCACATGAACTGTAAATTATTCATCTGTTTTACAAACTGGAATATAAACTCTTAAGGTAAACCCTTAGATCTTATAATGCACACAGTAATACCCACTGTCAGGACAAAAGCTGGCCTGCAAGCCATGTGAAATGAATAGAAATCTTGAGCAGGCTCATGGTGCAATAGTGGACTCCAAAATATGAAAGGAGATAAGAAGTCACATAGCAACGGCTTTTTTGAGATTATCTCTGAGCAATGCACATAATCTTGAGAACACAACATCAAGGCTTGCTCTACACTTATTTTCTTATATAATTAAACAGGAACAAATCTCTTATTTTTGTCTCTGTTTCAGTTATTTCTGTTGGAAACGTCTTCTAGCCTCCTATCCTCCTCCTACTTTTTTGAAGTGTGCTGAATATTCTCCATTTCTTCCTCTTTCCAGATCCATTTTGTATTTATCTCTTGTGCCTTTCTATTCCCAGGAAACTGACCTCTAAGAACTGCATTAAACCAGGAGGTAGTTCCTTTCTGGGTTCTGGATACATTCAGAGGCTCAGATGTTGAAAAGTTCAGAGTATTTGTTCCCTCCATCCTACTCTGTCAGACTAGTTTAACGGTGGCAACATCCCTCTACCTAAAGACGCTTCTCTTGATGAGGAATCTGCTCATTATTCAGGTGCCAGCAACACTCTCCTTCTTTTGAATCTTTTGATCTAGGATTGTAACATCTTCTTGCTGATGTTAGTCCTGAGTTCCCCACATTTTGTTACTCCCCTTGTTTGGCCCACACCTCTCAAAACCATCTCTTTATTAAACTCTCTTTTATTAACTTTTTTGACTTTGCTGCACATCTCTTTCCAGGACCATCAAAAATTGAGGGAAGATACTCAAATGTGATTTATTGCAAGAAAATTTCACTTACTTTCCAACTATTCTGCCCCTGTCCCTCTCAAATAAATCATCTGAAGCGCTCTCTCTCTCTCTCTCTTGCTCACGTTCTCTCTCTCCCCCTCCCTTTCTCTGGACTCCCAAAGAAACCTCAAGCATAGCCTTTGTGATCTTGGAATTTCATTGGCTGTTCATTGGTTTTCCTTTCTCTTAGAGAAAAAATCTAATACTTACTCACATTTGTATGCCTGACCTGAGCATTGCATTGCCATATGTAAGGTACTCAGTGAAGTTTATTGAGTGAACTGGCTTCTCAGGGTAAATGAGAAAAGTTTTACTAGAACTGGACTTCTAGGAGGAACTTTTAATGACCTACGTAGTGGACCAGGAAGCAGAATCTATGAACGCAGTCACCAGTCCCATGAGAAATAACCGTCTTTGGGAGTGGTGCCTCTGACCTTATGCAAATGGAAAATTGTTCAGCCCAGAGCAGCCTCCATGCAGAGTCCTTCCTTATCTTACATGACCCCGATGTGCACATAAAAAGCTTGCTTGCCTGCTGAAAAAGCCATGAAATAATCACTCTTTTTAAAGTTGCCACTTTCGTCCAGGAAGTGGCCAGGGTCAAACTTCTCTGGATTGGGAAATTCCTTGTCATCGTACAGGACAGAAGTCAGATCTGTTAAGATTGTTGTGCCCTGAAAGAAAAAAGATAAACCAGATCAAAATACAGTGTTCATGGGATGCAAAAGCCATGGATACGAAAGGCCAACATTTTGTATGCGTGAATTCTGCAGGGCTGACTATGGGACTTGAGTATATGTTCATTTTAATATATACAAGGAGTCCTGCAACCAATTCCCCATGAATACCAAGGGATGACTTTAAATTAAAACCTGTATAAACAGACAAAGAAGGTGATCATATAACGATAAAGGGGAATTTCATCAAGTGGGTATAAAAATTATAAATGTACATGAACTCAACATCAAATCACTTAAATATATGAAGCAAATATTAATAGACCTAAAGGAAGAAATAGACTTCAAAACAATAATAGCAGAGAACGTAATACCCTATTTTCAGCAATAGACAGATCAAACAACAAACAGTGGTGTTAAACTGTTCTTTTGACCTGACTTAGCAGGTACGCGCAGTACAGTCCACCCAACAGCTACAGAATACACATTCTTCTATACAGCATATGAAACATTCTCCAAGATAGATTGTATGGTAAGTCACCAAACAAGTTTTAACAGAGTTTTAAACTTAAAATCAAATCAACTATTTTTTTCTGAAAATAGTACAATAAAACTAGCAATGAAGAAGAACAGAAAATATACAAACACTTAAAAATTAATTAACATGCTTATAAAGATCCAATGAAGTAATGAAAAAATTAAGAGAAAATATTTAACAATGTCTTGCGACTAATGATAATGGACGTACAACATACCAAAAATCTATGAAATACGGTAGAAGCAGTACTAACAATGGAGTTTAAAACAATTAACCTTTACATCAAAAAAGAGGATAATCTCAACTAACAATCTAACATTGAAACTTAAGAAACTATAAAAACCAAAAACAAACCAAATCCAAAATAAGTAGAAGGACAAAAATTGTAAATATTATAGAATAAATCAATAAAATACGAAATAGATATAGAAACTGAAATACAAAGAAGTCAATGAAAGAAAGTTTTGGTTTTCTTGAAATGATATACAAAACTGACAAACCCTTAGCTAGACTATGAAGAAAGAGAGAAGACCAAAATAAGTAAAACGAGAGATGAAAAAGAGGCCATTACAACTGGACCACAGAAATGCAAAGGATCATTAGAGACTATTATGAACAAATATATGCTTACAAATTGGAAAATCTAGAAGGAATGGATACATTTCTGGACTCATATAATGTACCAAGATTGAATCATGAAGAAATAAAAAATCTGAAAATGATAATAATTGAATAACAAATTAAATCAGTAATAAAAATCTCCCATCAAAGAAAAGCTAAAGACTATTATTTTTGGCTTCACTGCTGAATTCTACCAAACATTTAAAAACACTCCAAGAAAAATTCTTTTGAAATTCTTCTGAAAAATTGTAAAGGGGGAAATCCTTCCATATTCATTTTATGAGGTCATGATTCCCCTAATATCAAAGACAAAACAAGAAAAGAAAACTGCAGGCCATTGTCTCTGAAGAACATAGATGCAAAAAATCTTAACAAAATACAAGTAGGCCCAGTGTGGTGGCTCATGCCTGTAATCCCATCACTTTGAGAGGCCGAGGTGGATCACCTGCAGTTGGAAGTCCAAGATCAGCCTGACCAACAATTAGCCAGGCATGGTGGTGCATGCCTGTAATCCCATCTACTCGGGAGGCTGAGCCAGGAGAGTAGCTTGAACCCAAGAGGCAGAGGTTGCAGTGACCTGAGATCATGTCATTGTACTCCAGCCTAGGTGATATAGCGAGAGTCCATCTTAAAAAAAAAAAGTGACTTGGGTGCTGTTAAAGGCATTCAGTTTCAAATGCAAATGGAAAAGGTTTCAGAAATTTGCAGCCTGACAATGCAATAGAAAAGAAAATCCCATTTCTGGGGAGAAATTCAAGCTGGCTGCAGAAATTTGCATAAGTAACAAGGAGAAGAATGTTAATCACCAAGAAAATGGGGAAAATGTCTCCAGGGCATGTCAGAGATCTTTGTGGTAGACCTCCCATCACAGGCCTGAAGGGCTAGAAGTAAAAAGTGATTTCATGGGCTGGGCTCAGGGTCTCAATGCTATGTGCAGCCTAGGGTCTTGATGTCCTGCATCCCACATGTGGCTGAAAGGGGTCAACATAGAACTTTGGCTATGGCTTCAGAGGGTGCAAGCCTCAAGCTTTGGAGACTTCCAAAGGGTGTTTAGTCAGAACTTCTACTAGGGCAGTGCAGAAGGGAGATGTGGGGTGGGAGTCCCTATACAGAGCCCCTACTGGGGCACCAGCTAGTGGAGCTGTAAGAAGAGGGCCACCATCCTTCAGACTCCAGAATGGTAGATACACTGATAGCGTGCACCATGTGCCTGGAAAAACTGCAGACACTCAACACCAGCCCATGAAGGCAGCTGGGAGGGAGACTGCACCCTGAGAAACTACAGGGGCAGAACTGCCCAAGACTATGGGAACCTATGTTTTGCATCAGCATGACTGGGATGTGACACATGGAGTCAAAGGAGATCATTTTGGAGCCTTAAGATTTGACTGCCCTACTGGATTTCAGACTAGTGTGAGGCCTGAAGCCCTTTTGTTTTGGCCAATTTCTCCCATTTGGAAAGGCTGTATTTTCCCAGTGCCTGTACCCCCATTGTATCTAGGCAATAACTAACTTGCTTTTGATTTTACAAGTTCATAGGCAAAGGGACTTGCCTTATCTCTTATGAGATTTTGGATTGTGGACTCTTGAGTTAATACTGAAATGAGTTACGACTTTGTGGCACAATTGGGAAGGCATGATTGCTTTTGAAATGTGAAGACATGAGATTTGGGAGGGGCGAGGGGCAGAATGATACGATTTGGCTCTGTATCCCCATCAAGATCTCATCTTGTAGCTCCCACAATTGCCACGTTTCATGGGAGGGACCCAGTGGAAGATGATTGAATCCTGGGGGTAGGTCTTTCCCATGTTGTTCTTGTGATAGTGAGTGGGTCTCATATCTCATGGTTTTAAAAATGAGATCTCTGCACAAGCTTCCTCTTCGCCTACTGCCATCCATGTAAGATGTAACTTGCTCCTCCTTGCCTTCCACCATGTTTGTGAGGCCTCTCCAGCAATGTGGAATTGTAAGTCCAATAAACCTCTTTCTTTTATAAATTGCCCAGTCTCAGGTATGTCTTTATCAGCAGCATGAAAACAGACTAATACAAATGGATTTCAAAATGCTAATAGAGAGGTTCTTGAACACTCTCATCACAAATAAATAATAAATGTTCAAGGTGATCGAGATACTAATTACCCTGATTTAATCATTACACAACTCATACATGTTTCTAAACATCATGTTGTTCTCCAAAAATATGAACAATTATTAGGTGTCAATCATAAATAAAAGAGAATTGATCATGCTCACAGGCTGATAAAAAGGAGCCAGGAAGAAGGGAGAAGATGAAGAGGAAGGAAGAAGAAATAATTATTTAAGAAAGATAATTGAAAATGTAAGAGAGAAGGGATCCATGCCACAGTTAAAACAGCTTATAGTGGAACAAAAGAAAGCCCATCTGTCACAGTAACTGACATGAAAGAGAATCAAAGGTTGTAAATGTAGCCAAGTATGTAAATCTAATGGAAAGCATTAGAGGAGTACACTTCCAGTGACTAATTTTTCTGTGAGATGGAAGAGTAGGTCACCTATTAAAAGTAAGATAATGAAAGGTTGAGAAGAGTTCAAGGTTGAAAGTCATTGTGGAGTATGGTGAAGCAAGTTGAGTTAGATTATAAAGCAGGATTGTTGGGTAACATTGACAATACTTTTGGCATTGATGAAAATTAAACCACCACATTTGGCATTGATGATAACAATATCAACCTGCTGGGCTGCATGGTCTTTTCCAGCACAGGTCAGTAGCCAATAATCAGGCAGGGAAGGAGGAGACTTTTATGTTGGACTTTTCACAAGTAAGTCATAGGGACAGTAGAGAAGGGGTGGGATACAGGATACAGGTTAATTGGTAAGAGTAATAAAACATAAAATTGACAGGAAGGGACAGGATAGCACACTGGGCTAATGGACAGGCAGAGTGTGGAGCTATCAAAGCATGGAAAATCCTGTGGGAGTCTAGGCACTGCCACATTTAGAAACTTGTATCAAAAACTAGAAGGAAAGAAGTATGTGGTTACAGGGTAGGATGCCTGAGTTATGACTATGCCATACCTGTAGAAGATGAGGCAATCTACAGTTCTACTGCTATGATATTTGATTGCCTAAGACACGTAAGGAAGGGTATAGACATAATATCCCTCACCTTTGGAATAAGGTATTCTCTAAACCGAATGTCTTGAGTCACTGCACGGGGCACACTAGTGGGGATGAGGTCAATATATCTCTGGATCTCATGCACCACGGCATCCGTGTAGGGCATCCGGCTTCTGTCCTGCATGCAGACACTTCGGTTTTTGCCGACTACATGATCAATTTCTTCCCGCACTTTAGCTGGCAAGGCAGGAGTCAGAATTTATGAGAAGTGAAAAAACTTGAAGTACCATTTGTAGGATCCCTTCATCATTGTCCCATTGTAGTTGGAGATGGGACAATGATGGAAAACTATGTGTCACTACCTCCATAAGAGAAAAAAAAAGGACACACAGTTTACATTTCTTGGGCAAATTGAAAGATCATTAGACACAGGTATGCAAGTATGAAATACAATTGCACCATGACATTCAATCCTCAACTTTGATTCCCTACTCTGTGTACTTTTTCTTGACAGACTCAGAGATCTGGGATCCTGAAGAATCACTGAAGACCTTGTAGTTTAGCCATTTTGTGTATTTCAATTTTATCTTAAATATTTAAGTTTCAATAATCTAAGAAGTACACAGTGCAGTTCAGGAAATGAGATATTAACTTGATTCAGCACAAAAACTTAAGAAGTTAAAATTTATTCAGAAGGTATTCATAATATAGGACAGACACACGGCACTCTTCATTATATTACTTTATAATTCTTCAAAAAACTTCTATGTGGTAGGTATAATTTCATGTACTTTACAAAGAAACAAGTCCAGAGAAGTAAATAGTTTCCTAAGGATGCTCAGGGAATATGTGGTCTTTCCCATATTATCCCCCTTGAACAGATAAGGGACCACAGATATGGAAAGTAATCATGTGTCTGCAGGTCAAGCAAGCCACCTATTAGTAGAATCAGAATTCAAAGGCACCGCTATTGAAGTCTACAGCTCATTGTTCAAAATAACAATGCCACACTGCTGCATCTGTTCCAAACCAAATCAAGAATCCTATACCATCGCAGGGAGAATAATGGCCTCTGCTCTTCAAATCTCTATCATTATTTAAACATTTTATTCTCCTTTTATACTAGGAACTAATTTGAATTGAATCCACCCAATGGTAGGTAGATGTACTAATGATGAGAAATTTTGTTGTACCTTGTGTTGGCAGGTAAATTGTGGGGTGGTTATCAGTATTTTCTGTCCGCTTCTACCTGAAATTTGATCCTGCCCATCATCTGTTCATACCTGAGATCTCAGGGTGCTTCAGCAGGAGCAACAGTCCGTATCTCATTGTGGTGCTTGTTGTCTCTGTTCCTGCACTAAACATATCCCATATAGTAGCAACCAAGTTGTCCATGGTAAATTCAGACTCTTTATTGTGTTTTTCCTAGCAATGACATGTTACAATTACTTAATAAAAAGCTTTTCAAGTAACACTATACTATTCAGTAGAACATCAGTACCTGGCTAATTAAGCCAGACTTTAGAGTGTGCTATGGGTGAAGATAATATTAGGTGAACTGTTAGAATTGCTTCAAATTTAAAATAGCACTGGACTCACAAACATTCAAGTACTTTCTGAATCTTCAATTTCTAACCCACTAGAGCCAGTCAGTTCCTTTGTAATTTTTGAAACATACTTTTGATTAAGTCATCACTGCTAATCACTGTCAACTCTAGCATCTAATGTCTATTTCATCATGTCTAATTTTTCATTCATGTTTCTTGAACTAATCACACCCAAACTACAGCAGTATTTACAACTCCATCAGTCATTACACCCAAGACTGCTCTTCAATTACAATCATTATAGCCTCTTTGAAAATTTCACAAACTTGATTACTATACTCATCATCTCCTGGATCTATTTTCTCCTCCCTGTTTAAGTTAGAGTTTCCTCAAACCTACCTCATCTGTAAATGAATATATCTTAGAGATTTCCCAAAAGTAAGCCTGTCTGGGTTTCTATCCATTCCTGTGTTCCCTCATTTGTTACATCTTCTCTTCACAGAACCATGATATGTTATCATCAGTCTTGAATGGATGTGTGCGTGTGTGTGTTTGCATATTTTGATCTGCCCCCAGATAAAGAACCAGCTTTAACATGGTAAACATAAAGCCTAAGTCTCTTAGGGTGAGAACTTAGAAATATCCAGAGACACGCAATATGGCTTACACAGGTAATATGTTGCATAAACAATTAATACACTTTAGGGTATAGCATTTGTTTTCATATCTCAGTTTCACCGGGAAAATCAAAGCATATCAATGAGTCACAACACCCACAAAGATAAAGTAGCAAATCAGAATTACATTGTACCTTTTCCATTCGAATCAGAAAATAGTCAATAAAGTCTCGAGGGTTATTGATGTCCAGAGACTCCTGATGTTCTTTTACTTTCTCCAAAATAAAACTTCTTTGGAGAGCATAATTTTTAAATATCACATTATGACTTCCTGGGAGAACTCGTAAAAAGGGGAAAGCATTGTAGAGCTGAAAGAAGAAAGAATCCATCATTAATTCATTCACCAAACACTGGTCCTTATCATTTATCAGACACTGGTTATATGCTAAGTAGATAAAGACGAATAGACATGCTTCCTGCACAGGAATGCATTCTGAATTTGAAGGAGAGAGCACTGAAAAAGTAGGCAGAGACAGTATGCACAAGTTACAAAGCAACTTCAAGGCCAATCACATTGATTTCCTAACCATAACTCTCTGAAGGAAGTCAGGAAATTACCCCTGTTGTCACCTCTCTTTAGATGAGGAAATTGAAGTTCATAAGGTTAATCAACAATTTGAAGACACCAAACTAGTGATCTCGGAGCTAATACCCTGTGTTTGCACCAGTATACACAATATATGTTTTACCAGGGGATACTCTAAAAATTTTGAAGACTCATACTCATTTGTGGTAATGAAGAAACAGTACATCTGAAAGATTAAGAAAGTGCCCAAATCACTTAGCGTATACATATGTATAAAAAACACAAACACACACATATACATATATATATAATTTAAATATTCCACCCCAAAGAATGTGCATATTTTCCTGACTCATGTTTTTGCTAGTCCTAGAGCTTACAGAACATGCTTTAATTTAGACAACACCCTAATGACCTAATACCCTTGGAACGCATCAACATAATATATTCAGGCTTGTAGCTTAAATCAAACTAGATACAGAAGCAGGAATCAGAAATTCTAGATTCTAGATTTTGATGTTCATTGTCTTAGCTACGCTATTTTGAAAAATATGCCTAATAGCTCTGGATCAGTTTCCCATTCCAGTAAATAAGAGACATTAGATTATTTTTTTCTCTAGGGTCCTTTGAAGGTAGGTCACATCAGGAACTTATGATCAGTATAGAATTTTAGTTGTTAGTGATTGTAAAACATAGGTTACTGACATTTTCTGACCGTGTACTTTAATAAGAAATACATCTTAAATCACTACCCTCTATATCTGAGGATCTTAAAAAAACAACAAAAAAGTTTCATCCAAACAAATCTTGCTATAAATGTAGCACTCTGAGATTATGTATTTTTTTCTATTCTACATTACTTCATGTTTTCAATTTTATTGCATCACATTAGATTGATTTGATAACTCACTAATGTGTTGCAAATGATAGTTTGATAAGCATTGCTTTGGACATTTTTTTTTTTTTTAGACGGAGCCTTCGCTCTGTCGCCCAGGCTGGAGTGCAGTGGCCGGATCTCAGCTCACTGCAAGCTCCGCCTCCCGGGTTTACACCATTCTCCTGCCTCAGCCTCCCGAGTAGCTGGGACTACAGGCGCCCGCCACCTCGCCCGGCTAGTTTTTTGTATTTTTTAGTAGAGACGGGGTTTCACCGTGTTAGCCAGGATGGTCTCGATCTCCTGACCTCATGATCCGCCCGTCTCAGCCTCCCAAAGTGCTGGGATTACAGGCTTGAGCCACCGTGCCCGGCACTTTGGACATTTTTAAATAGGGCAGAGAGATGGGGTAGGCATGAGCTATAGATGAGCTTGAAAACTATTACACATTCTAAAAAGAACCTTGGCCTTACCTGTATCCAGGGGGTGCTCACAGTTTCAAAGTTTTCATTAAAATACTTCATCAAGGTTAGAAATTTCTGATCCCTGTAATCAAAACGATTCTGGAAAATGATGGAGCTGATGACATTACAGGGAACACAACCCAGAAGAAAAGTGGGATCACAGGGAGATGCTACAAACAATACCAGTCAGAAGTTAAAACACAATTTTCATATAAATCTAAAATTGACTGCTTAAAATAATTGGAAATGATTGATTTCTAAGATGTTTCCATAATAGAAACTACCTGGACATGCCACCACTACTATAAACTTCAAATGCCTAAAAAAAAAAAAAAAAGGTACGTAACAGTTCCCTCTGTTAGCACAAATAGATAGTTTAAGCCACCCAAGCCCTGACCTGCACACAGGAAACTTCAACCCAGCCCTACCTAAAATTTGCTGTATTCTCCCAAATAAAACTGTCTAATCCAGTCCACTTTATTTGATAATTTTATGAGAGTCTCCTATTTATATCATTTTTCCAAAATGTTCTAATTCACAAGAAGGAATACAAAAAGAGGACATTTAAAATATTTTTTAATGTATGGAATTTAATTGCTCAGTGTTGATACATCCTCATGATGCCAAGAAAACTAAACAACAAAAGAAAATCAAGAAACTTTTTAAACAGAACATGGAAAACAGAGTTGAAAAATTTGGTTGTCTTTTTTGTAAAGATAAAAATAATGAGAGAAATTGGAATTATAGTTACATATTTGAAAAACTACATTGTGAGTAGGAAATAGACTTCGGCATAGCCACAATAAAGGCATGGCTCCATTTTTGGATGTTTGATTGCTAGAAGTTTTTATAAGACTCTGCATGAACTCTTCCCCTTATACCCCACATCTGGAAAGCGGCAGCTTAAAAAAAAAAAAAAATATGTAACAGTTCCCTCCGTTAGCACAAATAGACAGTTTAAGCCACCCAAGCCCTGACCTGCACACAGGAAACTGTGGCCACAAACCTAATTGCCTTGAAACTTTCATGCACCACTGCTCTTTCAGTGTCATTTGGGACCTGGTTGAATTGTCAGACACAGGAAACTTCAACCCAGCCCTAAACCCTAATTGCCATGAAAACTTCATGCCACTATCCTCCTGCTGCTCTTTCAGTGTCATTTGGGACCTGGTTGGGTGTCAGCCTGCTCTTCATTGAAAGCAATATTATATGAGTAATAAACCTTTCATATCCTATTGGTGTTTGTGTGGAATCTTTATTGTAACCATCTAAACCAGATTTTGGATGATAGGTAGGTCCCTCCTGCCTCTGTGTAGTGACAACGACAACACCACAACTCTAGAAGGACAATGCAAGCTCAGATCAAAAATTAGAAGTTACGATGTAAATTAGCTCTGCTCAACCTGTAGAAATAACTTCCAACTATTAGTGTTATTAGTGATGAAATGGGCTTCCCCAAAGTGTGAGGTCCCTACAACGAAGTGGAATCAAGCAGATTTTGGACGACTAAAGGTCAGGGAGTTGAGAGAAGGCCATAGTCACCATGGGAAAAGTTGAACAAGTTAATAACAAGTTCTGCTTCAATACAAATTAAGGATACAAATAATTTCACAGATAATATGTGCCAAAATTCAATATTCATTGCTTGACTAATTCTATTTCCAAATTTTATTCAAAGAAAGTAGTCAGAGATTTACAATAATTAATATGGGTTGCACTCTTGTATATTAAGAGCAGGAAAAACTAGAATCAACCTATCTGGCCAAAACAGAGGATTAGTTAAATAAACTCTGGTGTGTCCAAAATAATGGACTACTGTACTATCCAGCTAATAATGTTCTTGAAAAACATTTAAAAGTTAAACACATAAAAATATTCATTCAATACATGACATTATAAGACCACATATATCTTATGATCTTACCGCTTGCTTGCCCTGCCTGGCCCTTTCTCTTCCACCTGCTCTCCCAGCCCTGCAGGTGCACACACACATCTACGCACCACAGAGATCTGTGCTGCTGCAGTACCATCTCTTCATATCCACACTCCATTACGAGAGGTGAATGGCAGCCCCACACTTTGGTGGTAGTTGGCAACCCCTGTATTGTTC